CAAAATAGTCCCTAATACATAGCGCCTCTATCTTCAATATGCATCCAACATAAAAACCATACAATTTCCGTCGAAGAAAATTCTTTGAAACTAACGTTTACTATTACGGAGGGCTATGAAAAGGCGAGGTTTTATCGCGTTGCCATGACGACGGCGGGATGCTGCGTCGCCCGCGTTACCCTCCTCACTCGACACATTGGAAAAACTACTACAGTGCTTTATATTTACAGCCTTCGATATGTATGTATACCGACCATTGTAGGAAGTGAAAGTTCCCAGACCATGGATCGAAATCGATGATGCAGTCGACTTTGTATTACAGTGTCAGATTGGGAATGAATACTTACGAAAATTAAAATGGGAATATAACTTTTTCGTTTCTTTTTGTCGTATAATGTCGTGGACAAAACAACTGTTAGATTGATTAAAACTATTATAATAAGGCTGGCATGTATTGTGTCTCACAATAAAATAATTAAAAATACAAGACTATGGACTCACATAGACAAAGCCTTTCGCGTCATCAGTAAAAACCAACTATTATGTACATACTTTCCTGAATTGGTAACCATAATCTTTGGTGTTCTTAATTCTTCATACTTTTCACTATAAAACATAGAAATTCAATGTGACGGTGAGAATAATAACACCCTCACAATACAATAGTTTGAACTATCATTATGGCAAAGATGAATTATCTACATGCTTATCTGATACATTATTTTAAACTACTCAGCCGCCTGCCACCGCGACGATTAGTACAGTATCATTTAGTAGGTTAACAACCCTACAGAGACTTGGCCTTGAGTACTATTAATTAATTCATAGTACTTATGTATTCTGTACTTTCATAGATACGTTAGACAACAAGTTTTCCAAACATATCTATAAAAGAAGCGAGAATAAACGTACATCGAAACACATACATTGAATCGTCCATGTTCCTATTTAATCACAATAGAAATCGTTCAATTGTTCGGTCTATTTACACCGTCAACGTAGACGGGGAACAGTTAACCCTTGAATTTGGTACACACTGAAATATTAACGCCTGCTATGGAAGTACGCGGAAAAACAAGTCGAAAACTGGGCCCGTTATGGGCCCGTCGCATGTTACGCAAAGATTAATTCGCTGTTGCAGATGCGACAATCTTCCTTTTCAATCCACACTGCCTTCTTTCTTCTTTCTCATTCCTTTAAAAATGTGGGTTGTGGGTGTGATTTTATTGTACACTGGTGGTGATAAGAAGTAGTTCTTGATTGGGCCGGTAATCATTATTTGAATAGAACGCTCACAATGTTCGATTTTTAGATTTCGGTTTAAATAATCTATGATCTGGTAATTTCTTGACAGAAGAAGCCTAAATATGTAGCCAGCTTTTTCTTTAATCAGATGTATTTCTGGTCCCATTTTCACTGACCTACATTTAAGTTTAAAGAGAAACAAGTATTAGTAACTTGTCCACCTCTGAACTAACAGCTACCACTCAAAAATATTCACAACATTCCACAACCCTTCAACTATTTGACACAAATCACAAACCACATTGAACCACCTTTCACCTGCTTAATCTTCGGCGTCCGCTTGGCGTGTCGGTATTGAGTGGTGGCAGGGGTGGGGCGCACCAGGGGAGTCGATGCCGGCCCTGGGGACCGCCTCCCGAGGGAGCCGGCGACGGGCCGCGGGCCGCGGGTTGCAGGGGGAGACGAAAGGTTAAAAGGGAAAAGTTATAAGAGACCGCTTGTTGTCGGATCTGCGTAGTTCGATTTTCGTATGCGGTTTAGCGAATTTTTTCTTTGGCGTCGCGTTTTCTTGGTGTTGTGGTTAGGCTAGTTTCTGCAAATTATGAAGAACTTTTAGATACTTATCAATGGGCATTTTAGTAACTACACTTTGCAGTTATGTAATATTTTTAGTTGAATTGGTTAATACAAAATGTCACGACGTTGGACAAATGTCAACTGGTCATTGAAGATTCGATGACTCAAAAACTCCATTTAAAACAAAACTGATAATACGAAATAAACCGTTGAAAACTTTACCACAAAATAAAAAAGTAAACTTCTTGAATAAATGACATCACTTTCACAAGGCAACTTCTAAAGTTCTTCAAGAAATAATTTAGAAGGATTTTTTTTCAAATATTTATTGAAGAAATATTCGATGCAAATAAACATAGTCTATGCTTGGTTGGTGGTGTGGGGAGGGGGTAGTCAAGTGTTCTGACTCGACTTGAAAGAGGGCAACCTACTCGCTCGGTTCTTTGCCGCGACTTAATGCCGTACTAGATTTTTTCCATCGAATAGTGGGGAGGCATACACACTTAGTACATGTTACTATGTATTAGAGTTTTTAAAGAAGTTTCTAATGATTTTTAGGGATATTGGATTCCTTGTTTGTAGCTTTAAAATAATAGTTAACGTAATCATTAACCTTGTAAATCTGAGCTATTTATACATTTTTACAATTATCTAACAAAAGCAAACAAACAGAACTCGAAAAGAAAAATTATTTAAAATTACTGTTTAAGAGTTCATGTTGAATTTATTTCATTAGCTAGCTAAGTGCCTGAATTAATAGGGATTTGACTAAAATGGGCCTTAACAGTTTGTGCGAAGTTTGATCATAAAGGGTTGTTTACTTTCGTCGGGGTTCTTTTTAATTTCCATCTTATACCCCATCAAAAGACCCACACATTCTACTTACGTAAAGGTAATAATTTTTCGGCTTACCGGTCACCGCGAGAGCGATACGATAGGATAACGCAACTGTCAGGTGGCCCTTACAATGATATTAATGTTGCGAGCTTTCGATGACCAGGGGAGGACTTTTACGATACGTCTTACTGGGGGTAAAAGAAATATATGGGTGTTTAGCTAAATGTTTCATGTTATTATTTATTGCAGAGTAAAAAGTGTAGCACCCAAAATACATACCTATGTTCAGAATATTCTTCAAGAATAATACAACTTCAAATTATATAAATACCTGTCATTTAAAAACGAATATAAAGTTATGAAACTTTAAATAAAACTATGATATTCTAAGAGCTCCTGTGTATCCTTTTCATAACATTATCAAAACTAAGTAACAGTTGAAGTTAATATGTGAGGCTGACACAAAACACAAATTTGCGACTGTCGCGATCGATTCAACCGAACACTATGCCTAACCTACATTGTATTTCTTAAAATAAAATCCCCATTCACGGCAAGTCGTTTGACAGTGGCGTAAACTCGTAAAGTCGTAACTCGCAATATTGTGACATAAGGTGTTTAACATAAATAATGCTGGAACAGATGTGTGGCGCCGCGGGCACCACAAATACGTTCGCGCGGTACCAACGCCGCTCATATCTCGATACGTTTTTACTATTTGTATGGAGTTGTTGTTACGATTATATGAGTGACAATCAGCTAGTATTTATGGAGCTAATTAGCTTTTTAAGTAGTGTATTATGTGAAGATCTGCAAGAGTTGTGTTGTTGTATCATGGGCAAAGATATGAGTGCCGTTAGGCAGCTGATACACAAAATTTTAAAGCACTACTGGACAGATTTTTAGAAGTTATCAACATTAAAAAACTAATGAAGATTCCAGTATGTGCCTTTTGTCGTCTCAGAGTGAATCTTGGATTATTAAAAAAAAAAACACATTTCTAAATTCAAACAGAAGCGAACGATTCATGGACGCGAATAATTTATCACATACATTAGGGGTGTCTAACAACTCTACTAAATCCACACGTGTTGGCACAGCAATATTCGGCGTGGCGGCATCGCCGGTGCCTCAGGCTATGTAAAATATTTCTGCTAAAGCATTCATCGTGATCGCCCGCCTGATCGTACGCTCAACATTACGCACCAACCATCCTATATAAACACCCCTTTTGGACCGTACGACGACGACATAAAGACCACTCTACACCAACAAAGAACTCGGAATAAAATTGCAAAGTCCGACTATTGTGTGTAATCCGATATGCCGATAGTTGGCCCGATAGACTTTCCGTTGGAAATTGTTTGATTCCGTTTCGAGGTTTCGTTTTGACAGCCAATAAAACAACGTAGATTCCGCATTCTTTTATTTCCTAAAATGAAGTCCGATTTTGGTAGCTGTCCGCACTTTGTACGCGTTTTGTTGTCTTTTACGTCTATTTCATATTCTTTTTTAAATCGTCACACGACTTTTCGTTTATGGTGCAAAAAAATAATGAAAAAGTCGTAAAGTTCACATTCACACATTGGCCGTCAATGGAGCAAAAAATGTAGTTTGAACGGAAGAGCGGAAGATACAAATTTGTGAACACGAGAAACAAATTAATTCGTAGTGTTTAAGTGGCTCGCGTAACTGAGAAGTGGAAACAGCTGGCGAAGTTTGTAGGTGAACTTGAGCCAGTCGAAGTTCTCAGAAGTCATTTGGATACTAATGATGTTTAGCTACACGTTAGGTAATCGCTGCTCCTGTTCTTACTTTTAACAGTTCAACAAGTTTAACATTATCTTCTAAAAAATAAACAGCATTAATACACACTCTTTTTATTAGTTTGAAATGGATCGATAATTCGCTTATCGTTTTTAAAATTGTTTGGAGTTGTATCACGTATTTAGACGATTGATACACACCATACCTAGTATGTTTATCTTTGAGGCTCTGTATACCTTCATGTTTAACACAGTATTAATGTTATTGAGTCACTGTAGTCAATTAATTATAAGGTGTTCTTCCTTATTTAAATGAATCTGAATGTAGTATGAAAAACCCTACACTATTTTAATGATAAAACCAGTTTTCGTATAATGATAAAATCAACTATTGTATCTATATTCATATGTTGTCGACGTTTGATTTATGTATCCGCTTCATTTGCAGCAAATTATCTGTTCACACGCCCGTCGATATTTTACGAGCACTTGTGACAGATTTTAATACAAAAAACCTTTAGTTTTAACAAAATAGTTTTCATATTCACACTTTTGAAAACAATGTTTTTGTTGCAGATTTTTCTTGAAGTTCTTCCTAAAATGTAACCAGAACTGTTTGAAGAATGCCGGTAATCCTAGAGATATGAGAAGATTTCAAGTAAGTATATATTTTTTTTATAGTATAAGTCGGTAAACGAGCTGACGGATCATCTGATGGTAAGCAATCGGCGCCGCCCATGGACACTCGAAACACCAAGGCGTTACAAGTGCGTTACCGGCCTTTTGGATTAGGAATTTGAGGATTGTAATTGGGCCTCCGGTAACCTCACTCACACGACGAAACACAACGCAAGCGTTGTTTCACGTCGGTTTTCTGTGAGGCCGTGGTATCACTCTGGTCGAACCGGCCCATTCGTGCCTTAGCATGGCTCTCCCACACTTATATTTATACATTTTTTAATTCTGTTATCTCTATTCATCGACCGATCTGCAAGCTATTGGAGGCTTATACTCACGATATTGTGACTAATACAATAATGTTCATTGTAAAAGAAAAATGTCTTGAACAGTTAATTGACCAGGCTTATGGTGAGCCAGATGTTCAGCATTATACCACATACCGGCGGAAAATTTTCAAGATATTCTACGTGAAACTCATAAGAAATCCTTTTATTTGATAGCTGTGCTTGCAACGAATTGACTAAATACTCACTCAACAAAAAAATTAATCGAACTACGAATAAGAGAATTGACCATTAGGTAGCTTTTAAATTAGTCATGTGCTGTCGACAAGACAATGGTAACTTGTTTACTAGACGTGGCGAAAAATTGCCGCGATCTCTACTCGAGTCTGTCTGAACTGTGTTTCAAGTCATAAGCTGAAGAGAGTCGAAAATAAATATGAACATTAAAGTATTAAGAATAATTGTTAGGTTAGGTTATTTGAGTTAGTTTTTTTGGGGGTTTTTGGTTTGTTAGGTTAGGTTATTTGAATGTAACTGCTGATTGTACTTTGACAAAATAAATAATTTTTTTCTGATTCGGTTGTGAAGTATTTTTTGAATTCCCCATTTCATTGCAATGAGATTCAACTTCCCTGGTTAAAGTAAGCCTTTGTGCCTTTGTGTTCCAATTTTGAAAGTATAAGCAATTTGTATTTTTTTTAAACCAGCTCATCGTATCAATATTATATTTCGGCCAGGAATTGTTTGTTTATTATTTTTAATTTAAATTAAACATATACCAAGGAACGGATAGAAGATTTCTTTCTTCATTTGCCTTGCACCATACAACTGTCTGTATTGCCCTTAACTGTAGGAAGGGTTGCGTTCACGACTCTTGAATATTTGAAGCGCCTCCAATTTAAGGGAGGGATGAAATTAAATTTATTTATACGAGTTTATTTATTTACTTTCAACCGATCTTTGCTTGGCCTTTTATTGTATTTTTTAATTGGTTATGCTGTTTTATTTTTGGATTTGTTGTTTGTAAGTTGTTAATTAAAATTTTGTACAAGAGTTATGCTTTCAAGTCGTGATATTTACGTATCTATCTTGTTTAATTACTTTGAATTTGCTTTATAAAATTGACGGTTTACCTATAAAATATGAGAGTTTATAAGAATGTAACAATTGTCCTTCTATTTGATTTTATAATCTTATTCGTGTCTTAAAATAAAACATGGTATGAACTGCAACTACTAAGCACCTTAATAATGTTTAATGAGAAACTTCAAATGTTTAAATCAGCGTTCACTTAAGTCCCAACACTACAACCACAAACTACAAAGTCGTTTTTCACAATTAAAACTTCCCCACAAAATCTCGTATCTCATAATATAACTAATTAGTAGCAGCCCTAACATAACTACCCAAAAGGTGCATTCACACAGTCTCCTTATGAGTACAAATTTGCTTCCACAGTTGGTCTAAGACATATTTGTCTTACGTGTCCTCTTGCCAACTTTAAACAAATATAGAACTTATCGTTCAACACATATTGTTCATTTCTATATGCAACAGAAATACTAACAAGTCCTATGTGTGCGTGTGTTTAGTAATGTCTATATTTGGGCTTTCTGTGTGTCATTGAATAATTCAGTGGTCGTTCCCCACCGTTTCAAGGGTAAGAATATATGGGTATAATATACAACTACGTACATATTTATAGGTGGGTGTCGGAATCGAAATAATGCAGTCGCTTTATCGACGTGAATATTGTATTCCAGGTGATTTACGTGTCAAACTTGGCGACGTTTTAATTGTACTAAAATTTTGTCTTTCAATATTAGTTTGTATTTTATTTATGTCTCTTTGATAACGTTGTTTTAGTTAATAAAACTTGTGTAATTACGATGTTCGAGGTGTCATTATGTACTTAGGTATGTACTGTAATACTTGTCCAAAGCTACAATAAACAAAATAATGACTACAAACGAACCAACACAGGTAGCTAATACCGATTTGTTTACCCAACAGAATTTTCAGGCAACACCCCAAAGTACAGTGCGCGCAAAAAAATCGATTCAATGGCCGTCTATCAATCGGCCACCCACGTCACACGTCCATATTGATACGCACACAGGCACACAATGCACTTCCTTGCATACCCATTGGAAGAGTTTCGTCCATTTCGTCGCTCCCGAGACATTGGCTCCACCTCCCAAGGGACTCTCCCTTTCGGTTCCCTTCGCTGTGTGTGTCGGAATGCGGGCGTTTGTTTTCATGTGTGAAATGTAGACGTGTTGTATATCTTCATGCGTTTTATTTCCGTGACTGTTGACTGTACGTTTGGTTTGTCTATAAATATTTGGGATTTAAAATTGGCACAGATTTTCTACTTTGTGCTTTCTACTAAGTCGTAGCTAAATTAGTATTACAACATAATGTACTGAAACATAATTATTACTTTGATAAAAAACATACTTTTAAAAAAGAATAATGTAGAAGAATGTTAGTTCTATGTAGAAAAATTTAAAAGTCTAGCAATTAGAAAACAATTTTCTTTAAAAGTTTTTCAATAAAAAATATTGAATAAACATTATTACAAATACAAAAGTATAGTATTAACATTTAACATTTGTTCTAGGTGGTGATATCAACTCAAGTGATGGTGGACGGTCCTCTCCTAGCGATATCAGACAATATGTTTGTCCACAACAACAGCAAGCATGGCCGGAGGGCAAAGCGACTAGACCCAAGCGAAGGTACAGACGCCGCGACAGACAATACTTGTACGTTTATGTTTTATTTTTTATTATTTTCTGTTGAATGATATTCAAACAGCCACTATAAGGAAATTATATGTGTGAATATTTAAGTATTTTTACGTATTTTTCACTTTATATTAGTGTGTGTTTTAATGTCAATCAACGTTTTAATGAATGTGAGTGTTGGAGTTTATATTTTGTTGTTTTTTATTTTTTTCTGATGTACATGATGTTTTCATAATGTGTTTAAGGTTTTTACAAAAAAAAAATGTTTGCATTACAGTCTAAGATTTAAAAAATACGTTTTTTTTTCGTGTTACGTAGAGTACCGTAACGTAATATTTCAGCACTTCCGTAAATACGTGTGAATTTCAGCAGTCAATTGACGATAAATGTGCAAAAGTCATAATACACCGTTTTAAGCTGTCGTTTGTATTCAAGGAATCACTGTAGACATTTCGCAAAGAACTTCAGCCGGGTGTTTCAGGGGTGGGGGCGCTGAAGCGAACATGAAGCGAATAGGGATAATTTAGTGAGGAATTATGCTCCGCACAAACTTTGTACATGCGTTTGAAATCATTTTCTCATATTAAAATTTTGTGATTTTGATTTTCTATTTGGTTGAAGTTTTATTTTGTAAGTCATACCTACTTTTAAGTTATAAGTTGTATTTAAGTATGGTAAAAAACACAGCCCTAAAAATAAATATAAAAAAAAAACAACATATTAATTCGGAAAACTGATCATGCGATCAAGTGTACAAAAGTCTATTCACATATTACACAAATGAATTCTCAAATGCTTACTTAGGTACCACACAAATACATATTACGTTTAAGTTTCCAGTATCGTCAGACACATATAATTAATCATACACTTTAACGTAAATAAAATTAGCGAGCGTCGAAGTTTACAAAGTGACTAGACGACGCGTAACCGACTCGAAGGGATTACACGGTGCAAATGAGAAAATTTACAAGTAACTTTAACTTCGTAAAAATGTTCTTACTTCGTATTGTTTTTTTTTTGTTTTCAAAGTATGTAACGTTTGTTATACATTGGAATAACATTTTGCCTGTAACTGTACTATGAACTTTTGAGTTAGTCCAAAGTAAGTAAACTATAGTCAATATAAGAAACTTGCACGTATTTTTGCCCAATCTTCACTCCATTTATTAGTATTTTTCTTAAGGAAAGTTTGCTTTAAGTATTGAGTACTTTTTCTTTATTCTTATATCTATACAAAATAAATAATATAACATTAATTACGTATTTTACGGTCTACTATATTGTAAAACATCGAAGAATTGATTGTATATACAACTGTATGTAATAAATACTTGATCCCAACGACCTTTCACGGAATATTAAAACGTCTTAAATGGGGAGAATATAATATTAGTGAAATTAAAAAAGAACCACCGAAGTAATCGCCTTTCGTCCCCTTAAATTCACTTTCTACCGTCTTTATTACAACGTTGTTCGCAAGATTTCAGTTTCCCCCTTGTTCAGCGCGTGTCCCCCTAAACCTTGCACTCACGGCATCTGACAAAGTCATAACGACCAAGAAACTGTGTTCTATAACGAACTTTATTACTTACAGTTAAAATTCTTTTTCAATTATCTCCACCGATCTCTTATTTCTTGTATCAGTGACACTTACACGGTGACTTTTACGGTATACAATTGTCCTTTTTCTAGAACAGTCTAAAGTGTACGTTCAAGTAGGACGGAGCGAGTTTTAGTGGTTTGACGTTCAACTTTTAAGTTGTTGTAGAATTCAGCCCTTACTTTCGCGGTTCTACGGAGATGCCATTTACGACCCTGAATGCTATTTATATGAAAGTTAGGGAACTATTTTAAGCTTGACATCGTGAGTTGCGAAAGTATTTGTGGTACCCTAATAGGATACCATGTTAGTCGAATAATACGTATTTGTTTTTATTCATCGTTGCCTGATAGTCGAAAGTAGATCAGTTTTTTGTTATTTATTACTTATTCATACCGTTTTACCTCTAGTGATTTTTGATATTATTATTGATTGTTAGGAAAAAATGTAGGTAGGTAGGTTATTCTTAAACTTATTCAGGTTAATACATAAAATATTTTCGACAGCAGGTTTATATCCGCCTCTGCCAGTAGCGACACCATGCATCAAGGCCATATCACCAAGCGAAGGCTGGACATCAGGGGGATCAACAGTCATCATAGTTGGAGACAACTTCTTTGACGGACTCCAAGTAGTATTCGGAACTATGCTGGTATGGAGCGAGGTGAGTTATTAATTTTGAAATCTAAAGGCATAAATATAAGGTTGATTCTCACTTAAACTCTACATGCATTAACATGAATTACATGTGTCAGCCAAGTCTTGTTTTGATACCAGCAATAAATTTATTGCGTTTTGAACAAAGCATGAGATTATTATTAATATTACGTTCTGTTTATCAGTTAATAACATCGCATGCGATAAGAGTGCAGACCCCACCGCGTCACATACCCGGAGTGGTGGAAGTGACGCTCTCGTACAAGAGCAAGCAGTTCTGTAAAGGGGCGCCTGGAAGATTTGTTTATGTTTGTGAGTATAAATACTGTCTGCGTTTAATTAGTACGAGTTTCTCTTATTTTAGATACAACATAACATCACGCCTTTTATCCCCTAAGGGGTAGGCAGAAGTGGACATTATGCCACTGTACAATGTAACACCCACTTTTCACTATTTATGTTATGAGTCCCATGTAATAGGGGGTGAGCTTATTGCCATATACCAGGCACAATTCCAGACTCACTGCTACTACTGAGATTTTTTTAAAAACCCAGTAATACTTTGCCCGACTTGTCTTGCCTAGTCGCACTTGCGACCACTTGGACAACGAGGCAGTCTTATTTTAGATCTAATTTTGAATTTTGTTTGCATACTACTTCTCTCAAAAAGCTAGTTACTAAACCATGTATAAGTAGCAACTCTTTACATGACTCATGGGTGCATGGAATTTAGAAGTAAGTTTAATATTTGCAAACTGAAAAACAGTCCTAGTTTTTGTTATACTTTCATGTTCCGGATGTCTCATTACTTATATACGGACCAATTTTTTCGTAGAAAATAATCAGTAATTAGGGGACATCGGAAAATCTTATACAACAATCCATCAATTAGGCTTTCATTTGTTAGTGGGCCAACTAATGATTGATTTTGTTTTTCTCTTGTTCGCATAGCAGCGTTGAACGAGCCAACGATAGATTACGGCTTTCAGAGGCTGCAAAAACTTATACCAAGACATCCCGGCGACCCGGAAAAATTACCAAAGGTTCGTTTTTATTTGACCTTGTATTTTTTATACTTTTTGTGAACCTTATCACTGTTGAACGCCATGGGGGTCACCGGTGACCGGCGTTAGCGGAGGATTTGCCTTCAACAGTTTTTTATTGGCAGTCAAAGTCTTAAGGTTATAAATAAAGACATAAAGATTATAAATAAAGATAGAACACATAATTAAATAAACTTAAAGTCTTTTTTTTTTATTTTATTTAAGCTTCATGCGCAAAATGTACGTAAGGTGGACTTAATGCCGCAGGCATTTTCTCCCAGTCTGACCTTTGGGTGATGCAGACAAGAGTTAATGGTGTGGGCAAGAAGCTTTTAAATTGTGCATATTTATTTATTTCCTTATTTTATGTATCATGTTAATAAGTACTGTTAAAAATAAAGATAATTAAAATACGTGTAAAGAAAAAACAGAAAAAAAAACTGAAGAAAAAATAACATGATTAAGATTTTCTTTGTTTTGAACCGGTAGCATATATTATTACGCTCCATGATGTAATAAATCCCAATTTTTCTCACAGGAAATAATTCTAAAACGAGCAGCGGACTTGGCGGAGGCACTGTACTCAATGCCTCGCAACAACCAATTAGGACTTGGCGCGCCTCGATCACCGCCAGCCAGCATGCCTTTCAATTCGTACACAGGACAACTAGCTGTCAGTGTCCAAGATACTGCTGCCTCGCAGTGGACTGAAGGTGGGTTATGAAAATATTTAAAAATCCAATTAGGGATTACCCCATCATTCGATGGATCATTTTCAATTGTAATACTTCATTTACATTTAGGGTCTAACACTTTTTTTGGTACAGCTTGTAAAGTTAAATATTTTTATTACAATCCCTTTTAAAATTAATACTCAATGACACAAAACAAATAATGCTACTGCAGGTGTAGTAAAAAATTAACGGCATTATGTGTTGATCCCAGGCTTTTTCTTTTAGAGGAGTACGCGCGCAGCGGTGGCTCGGTATCGCCGCGGTACTGCTCCGCCGCGTCCACGCCGCACGCCGCGCCCGCCGCCTACCCACATCCACAACACTACCCCGCACCACCAACCTCACTCTTCAATACCACGTCACGTGAGTACCTACTACATACAATTATGACGTTATAACTTTGTTACAGTTACACTTGGCGGTGCTCTATCATGCACCTTTTATTTTAGCCGTTGTTGAAATCATTTTTAGGGGACTCAAGTCCTATTCCTAACCAAAGTATATGCTTAAATTTGTCAATATCACTACATTATCACACTACTAAACTGTCTAATAAAATAAAATACAAAATTCTATAAATAAAATTACACATGCATCTACCTTATACTCACTGCAATGTCTAACCTGGCTTAACTCGAGCTAAACAATACAAACAAGGTTTAAGTTCACGTTCCAACGCTTTCTTCGCACGGCATCTGTTTGTTTACGTCGCTTTGTGTTAACCCCTGTTTTCTTTATCCCGTCCAGTGTCTCTAGGTCCGTACCATCCGGCGAACATGAATGGACACTTATCATCTGACCGTCACTATAACGCGTATAACACGAAAGATAGCGGACATTACAGTGAAAGAAATGGGAATTCTAAAAGCCTGGACGACTGTCCGGTAAACATTCATACAAAATGCACCGACAGCGATATGAAAGGGGCTCAGAATAAAGAGACTAAGCTGAGAAGCGCTTTTGCCGTAGTGAGGCAGAGTCCGCCACGCGTTGCCAATGAGCATCATCAGAATTGGCACCACCTCGCCGTCCAGTGTTAGTAGTTTTGTTTTTTATTTGTATTGCGATTCGGTTTTGTTTGGCTTTTTATTTGCATTTGAGCGTATTTTTTATTTGCTATTTGCATACTCTTCTAATGCTAACCCTATCCATATTTTGGTACACTTGTGCACAAAAGACATGACAATAGTACGTAAAATAATTTATAAAACCATTGATGAAAAGTTAGGTGCATTTGTATTTATTTTTATGTGTAAGCTACTGAAACATATAATTATATTTTTTACTAACTGACAGTTGTAAGACGATAAATAAATATTACTAATTATCCAACGAACCACACAACGTATTGTGTGAAAGTGTGATTTGCTTTTGAATAACGACTTTTTGTATTAAATATTAACGGCAACAGATTGTTTTTATAGAAAACAGGACTAAAAGTATGAAATTTTAAAGTATTTTCATTGTCCACAGGAATGGGTGGTCTTGTATCATCACCGTTCAGTGTCAATCCGTTCTCGCTGCCGACTTGCAGCGCTCAGCAATATGCTCAGACAGCCCCGCTCGCTTCCAAGTAGCCCACAACAACACAGGCCTTCAATGGTGATGGTCAGTTTCTATTATAAGACATTTTAAACTTTATTATAATCTGTCTACAGGTGATTTTAGAGATAAAATGGTGTAAGTGCAGATTTTGTTACATTGTTTTTTTGTTTTCATATTGTTTATTCGTTATTATGAATTTAATTATTCTCAGTGAAATAAGAAACATTATTTTTATTCATAACTTTTGTTTCTGACTATACCTGATATAATGAGGGTCATCAAAACCAAGAATATGGAAAGGCGGCATTGTAAATACAATTGTAATTTTTGTGTAAATATTAAAGATAATAAATTAAATTCAATAGTTTGGTTGCTAGATTGAACTGTAGCGGTAGATTTTATATACATTCGAAGGCTAACGTTAAACTGCTCAGGACGATTTTAAACTTTAATATCATGTAAAAAGATTATGTTTTCGTTTACCCGTATGTGTGTCGATTTTGTTCTTGTAAAATCTGTGATATATTTATTGTAAGTGACGTTGTAAATTTTTAAATTAATGTAAAATTAATGTAACGGTGTAAATTTTTCGATTTTGAAATTTTGAATAGCGTTTCGATTATTTTCGCGCTTAGGTTACGGATTCGGACATCGAAATATTTTGAATTGATCATATCTAGAAACAATACATATCCAGTAAATACGATATTTGGGATGTAATATTGTACAACGAAATAAAATGAAAATCTGATGCCGAAATGAAATGTATACGAAAATAAAATATCTTTTCTCTGGCTCACTTTGCTTAGATTCACGCAAAACGAATTGTATTTTGTGAGGTAAACTCCGTGAATATATTATGTAGTGACGTATTATTGTTTAACGCAACTGTGTATCAAATAAGACATTGTAAATTGTAATCGTTCATGAAACAAATTATCACGAAATACGAGATTAAATTACGTAAAATAATTTAAAAGTTGTTTCATTTTTATTGATATTTAAATTTTATTTTTAATTAGTAAATATTGACGTTGACTGTACTTACATGTAGACCTTCACTTGTTTAGGGACGGATTTTCTGTATGAAAGTATGTAGCAGTATAATATTTTGTATATCTAAATGACAAAATATAAGACTTACATACTAGGACAAAATAGAAAAATTCCTGTGGACATCTTCATTTACTCGGCACTATTTTTCAAACAATCTTTTAAAGAGCACTTGAAATAGGGATTTGTCAAAATAAACAAACACAACATTTATAACCATCTATTTCATTTATAATTGATGAGTACAAGTATCACAATGATCTATCCAGTTTTACAACTGGACTGTCCATGGTGCATCCATCATACTCATAAATATGTGACTCAAACAAAAACATACTTTTAAACTATTGTGATTTCACACATGGTACATTTTGCACCCCACTTGAAATATTATACTAACAATTTTTGTGTATAATATTCCCTATTGTTCAACCTGACTAGATAATGCATGGGTTTATTTCTACCCCTAATCGTACTTAGCAAAGAATTGAGATCGTATTACTACTGAATTAGCATTAGAATGGACTCGCCCGTTTTCAACGAACAATTTTGTACATTTAAATTAATTATGGTGATCTAATATTGGGCTTAGAAAGGGTGTTGTAATAAATGGGTACTTAATTACTTTGGAAGCATGACACCAAAAATATTTTTCTGTTGACTAACATTGTCACGATATTTAAAAACAGAATTTTTTAATCGACTCTGAACTCAGTTATGTTCTCGTAATCAGAAGATGCATTATCAAAGAGCATCAATAAAACAAAAAAAAACTAGTAAGACTTATAAAATATAAGGTTGCACACATACCATACGACTAAGTAGATTACGCTACAATAATCTAAATGAGCGTTTAGTCGTGCTCGTTTGACGTCGTGTGCGGCGCACGTGTGTCGCGTCTGTCGCACGCGTCCGTCCGGATGTCATTCCATATTGGTGTGAAGATGGACTTATTTGTACGAAGAGGTATGGATTTGTATTGCAATCATGATTTCTATTTGATTGATTTTAATGTCTATTTTTAGAAGATTAATAAATATTTCGTTAGATGAAGTTGCTCAATTGTGTTGTAATTAATTATTTTCTATGTTTGGTATTATTTCTGGTTATTAATGTATTAAAGCTATTTAGACTATGACCCAATTGTAACAATCTTAATCAGTAAATTAAGGGTCAAAGGCAGAGCTATCTAAAAATAATTTACCATAAATCTGTTGCATTTTAAGATTCCAAATAAGAGATTAGTTGGAAAACACGAGTAGCAATTATAATTCCTTATTATGAAAATGTGATTGAGTATCGAATTACAAAGAGGGCGGGAGTGTCATTTTTATTCTTATGCATATTTGTCTGTCCCTCACGATAAACAAGTTAAGTGAACAAATCGTCTTGTCGTGTCAATCTGTCGCGTGGCGGTCGGCGCGCGTGTTGGTCACGTGGCGATGTTGCGCATTACCAAATTAGCGTCCGGTGTGCACCTAACCTTAAATTATGTTAAGCTCGACTCGTGTTACTAATAGAAATTGGCTTTGTGGAAAATCGTAATCGATTTTGAGTTTAAATATCGTACTTTATGGTTACAATATAAAGCAATAACTTTAAAAAGGATAAGATAATATTCCATTGTTAAGAAAAGAAGTATGCTAGTACAAATAAGAACGATATTTATAGTTCAAACTGCAGACTATGAAAACAACATGAATTCGAGCCTAGAAAACATTCTCAAAAATAAAACGTAAAACGCATAAGAAAGTCGAGGGTGGATCGGGCTGAAAACTGGGATGGGAAGAGAGGGGGTGGTCGACAATAGGTGTACAGATAACTTTCCTTCTACAGTAGAGTCAATACCGACCCTAGGGAGTTTTACCCTCGGGGTTCGGTCGCTTGGGAAAACTAGACCCAACAATATAGAAAAGGACAGAGCTATACATCACGCGAAGGGGGGAACGGTGCATCGGATTGTACTTATGTATTAATAATATATAGAGGAAAAATGCCGAGGACGTGCGTCGAGTGATATGTTGCGACTGTTAGTAAGAGAGGGATGGATGACATCAATTTGTCGTGTCGTGATGGGGTTTTATTTTGTTTCGCCTTTTGCAATTTTTTTTGGGGAGTATCTATTTTGGTATTTTATTAAGTTAGGCTTTCGATTGGGATTGTTTCGTGGTTTTGGGGCGGTTTGAATTCCCTTACAGAAGGGATTGTGAACTTTGGCACTGTAAACTTTCTGTATGATAATGAATCTCTACAATTCTAACTAGTGGATTGAAATTAAGACCTAATGATTCACTAAATGTTACTTACTAAACATTATTAGGTACTATACTGAAAATTCAAATAGATATCCTAAAAATCTAAATAACATATCACAAAATGAAATCCTCTAAAATATCCTAAATTCTTGAAAATATAACTTTGAAGTTCCACCATAAAGTCATAGTAAAACAGTTATAAGGCGATATCGCAGCAGCATCGAGGCGTGTCAACGGAGGCGTTAAGCGAAATTGAGTGAAAGTCAAGTTAAAGTATTAAAAGTTTTCAGCTAGCGATCTTTGTGAACGCGACGAGCGACCGCCGCGCGCCGCAGAGTTTGTAGCGGTAAGGCGGGGTAAGTATCCAGTGTCGATATCGATAAAATCGTCCATCGTCGGTAAGTTGAGTGTCTATTGTTGAGTTTTTCTAAAAAATATACAGTGAAACCTGGTTAAGTGAGACATCAAGGGACCTGAAATGTCGTTTTACTTATAGAGGTATTCCACTTACCCAGTGTTCCAGATATACAGGTATAAATAAATATCTGTCTCATTTACAGAGGGTTCCATTAATAGAGGTGGACTTGGAATTACGTGTAGAATTTCTGGGTAGAATAAGAATGAGTAAACAAACAATGTTATCTCAGTTACAGAGGTTTATGCATATAAAATTTACTCGCTGTCTCAGTTATAGAGGTAACTATGATGATAAATCGAAAGAACAAATCCCAGATATAGAGGTTACCTCGTCCCACTAACAGAGGTTATTCAGTGCCAAAGTGTTGGGACCTCAGCATGAGTTCTAGTTATGGAGGTTTCTCACTTATACAGGTCCCACTTAACCAAGTTTTACTGTACATGAATTTGTAAACGAGAATAGAAATTCTATGAAAAATATAGTGTAAAATTAATTCTGTTTTTGGGTTGATTAATTAAAACGATTTAAATAAATGAAAGAAATATTTAAAAAATATTCGTAATATGTGTGTATGTTTTAAAAAGAAATAAACATAGCTTTTTTACATTATTTCCTCCAAACCACCTCTTTAAAATATTCTTTAGATCTATCGATAAAACACTACAATTTCGACATCCCCCGAAATATCCAACACCCAACACTGCTTCCTTAACACGGTGTAAGTTAATAATGTAATAGAATTACGACGGAAAAACTGTTGAACTCCGACGAAGCGGGTCGCACTTAATTGTAGCACTTTGTTTTGTGCGTACCACTGACGTCACTTGCTTGTAAACATACTGTGCAAGTGTGTGCGATTGTACTTATAGTAGGTATGACGTAGATTGAGGATTGTGGAACGAAAATAATGAGTTTTTGTTGAGATGTAAAATTTTTGACGACATAGATGTAGAAAAAAATTAACTATGGAAGTGCATATCCACGGTTGGTACAAGGGCAGATTGATAACTTAGCATTTTGTTGCAAGTTAGAATAGGGTACATGACTAATTTTTATTTAAATGTCCGTCTGGTCGATTATTTTAAGACATTATATACGTATTTTTATTTTCTTACACACACTAATACTTTCGACAATATATTGATTTGAAATATCGCGTGACGTCACTTCTATTGACGTTTTATACTTAGAAATGACGTTATAGCACCCACTCCTAAACTTTGATTCGTTTTATCTAAATATTGTGTTCTTATATGACAAAGTAAAAAACACGTGTCTAATAGTTTTTTGTTGCCTAACTGACGGACTAATAAGATTTTATATTACCCCGTTATCTACCCTATTGTGTGATTTATAAATTCTTGTTGGCACAAGACTTGAAACCTAGTATGAAGTAATATTTATTTTTGGCTTCTTGTGTATCAGTGTAGGTTATAAAGAAGACTTACGGTCAAATACTGAAAGGCTAATTTTAAGCCGCGCTTAAGCATAGTTTTATTACTACAAATTCCTTTACAACTGTAAAATGATAGAGATAGAACTATATTTCAGTACAACTAAAAATTTAGTAGTCTTTCAATATTCCGGTTACCAGGGCTCCGGCTCGAAGTGCAGGAGAAGGAACGGGGTGAATTTTAGTCAGTAAGAATCTGACACCTCCCGCCTCACTCAGGCGGGAGAAGTCATTCGATGATTTTCCCCCCTTAATAAAAAAAAGGCTGAGATTTACCCATATACATAGTAGTTTTAGTTGCTAAGTCCTTCGAAACAAGTACAATAATAATATGAATTTCCCTAAACAAAAACCAACAACATATTTGAATATGCATGCATTCAAATGGCTGAATGATGTCTCAACGGAGTTTAGTACAAAAGTTTGGCTAAAAATCATGCGCAATGGGAAGGTAGTTAGTGAAAATTTTACAACTCCGACGTGTGTTGTCTAAAATTTTACGTCGGGTCTAAATAAACTCCGTGATAGTTATAAACAGTTCGCGGCGAATGAATGTGACGTGAGATGTATTTGTAGAGAT